ATTTGAAGATATATCACTGTCATTACTATTATTGGTTGTTTTTTTTTTCTTGATCAGTTTCACCATAGGGGAATACATTTCATTGATCATCTCCAAGAATCATCCTTTGGTTTTCATGACTTTTTTTTTTTTTCTGTTTTAGCATTTTTTGCCTTCATGTTTATTGCTTCTGATTTTTTTAAACTTCCTTGCATTGATTTTACCATTCATTCTCTAACTTCTTATGATGGGTGCATATCTCATTGTTTTGTGGCTTTTTAAACTTTCCTTACCTTTGAATATATGGCTATAAATTTTCTCTAAGAAATGTCTTATTTACATCCCACATGTTCTGATATGCATCATACTGGTTGTCATTTTCGTAAAATATTTTTAATATCTATAATTATTTTTCTTTCACTCCCAAATTATTCCTAATGTGTCTCTCAATTCTTAATTACATGATATAGTCTTCAGGTACATGAAACAAAAAGATTTTGAGAAGTTTTACTCTTCCTGCTTATTCAAGATGGGGCCATTGAAGCTGTGCTGTTGTTGACTCCTACATGAAATTCTTTATCTAAAACCTAAGAAACAGAGTTATTAAAGATGCTCTGTGTATGCTTGTAGGAAGAGGAACTTCTCTCAGATGAACTATTCTTCAGAGGAGGAGTCAAGGAGCAGAAAGTAAGGTTCTCCCTAGACTTTCTCCTTCAGTCTTTTTATTGATCCAACAACCACACATTATCATATGGCAATTTGACGATAAAGTATTGACTGTCCTGATTACCACAGTTGACCTAGATGTCAAGAAACCTATGTTCAGGTCTGAGATTCAGCCAAAGTTCTATGTAAAGACATTATGGTATAATAACTTTTCATGTCCAACGAGGATTCCTTTCTTTCCACTGACAGTCAGGATCCAATTTTAGTAAATTATAGAGTCTTCTATGAATCTGACAGGGGTAGCATCTGACCAGATCCATGAGTTAGGGCTAATTTCTCACAGGGAGCTCATATCTGTGAAAGGAGACAATGGAAAAAAATAGATTGTACAAGATGGGTTGGGGACAGGGCAGGTCACTAAATCCCTGTGATTTGCCCATCTGATTTTAGCATAAGAGAAATAGGGCAAATTAAGGAGATTGAGAAATTCTTTTACCTAAGAGCTTGTGTGGATGGGGCAAGATACCTGTACATCTCTGAAAGAGGGTGAGACGTGGTCTGGGGTGGGGATAAGATGATTGAAAGTGAGACACACTTTTTAGCCCTTTCAGTGATTTCAGGGAGTTTAGGTGGGAGGCAGAACAAATTAGCCAAACAAGGGTGAACTTTGGTTTAGAAGGACCTATCACAACCCTTTGTGTTCAGCCAAGGACTCTTCTGCCTGAAGGTATCTGTGAAGTTGTCACCTATCCTTGGGTGGCTTTGTAGTTACCACCCATAGGGTCATTGCGCTGCTCTTTTCTGGTAATCCCAGTTGAAATAAAAGAGCTACTCAGAGTGGCACTCTGAATATACTCCATGATTCTGTATTTCCTTCCAAGGTGAGTCTGCTTTTATATGTTCTGTCATTAGTAAACAAGAATCAGAATATTCACCTCGGGCCTAGTTCTTTGCCACAATATCTGAGATATCTGGACACTTGAAACTATTGTTTTATTCAGGAAGAACTGAGCATTGATATTAATCAGCTAAAGAGAATGCCATGGTGTTTTTACCTGGACAATTTACTTTATTTGAATATTAAGTCTCTACAGCTTTTATGCATTAATAAAAAAGGCAAAAATAAAGGAGAGCTCTCTTTCTCTTAATCACTGTGGACAGTACAGCCTGGTATAGACTGTAGGGTAGGAAGTCTTCGCTGGCCTGGAGATGGGGCAGATACCATGGAGAAGACACCATAAGTAAAGACCCTGAAGTGGAATATACGTGTTCATATGAGAGAATGACAACTCAGAGACACTCAACATTTTTATCTGTTAATAATTGTGTTAAACACAAAAGGGAAGAAACATTTAAAGAAAGTGAGATGGATGTGTTGGGAAAGAACTCCTTTAATTATTTATTGTTTTTCTAAACTAATATTTTCTAAATTAAATCACTAAAAAGTAATGTGCCATGAGAAAATGGAAAAAAAAAAAGTCGACTATTCAAATAACTCTGAATTGAGAAGAATGTTCTCATTCTACAACCAGCAGAAGAGGCCACAATATGATATAATAACATACAAATTGATATGCATATGGTATGATAATAATAATATAAAAGTTGAAAACTTGCTTAGATAAAAAGACCACAAAGTTAAAAGATGAAGAATTAACTGGGAATATTAGCAACATGAAGCAGATAAGGACATAATATTTTTAACACAAAAGGCAGGGATGCAATTCAGTAAAGAGCTCTATCAACACTGCTTGCTTCTCATAACAGGCACTTGCTCCCTGTCCCTTGCTTCAACCATCGCAAGTGCTGTTCTCCAATGAGTGGCACCTTTACCCAGGTGGGGAAACCTGCCTACCTGTACTTCCTTCTTCTGGGACCCAGAGGGCTTTAACAGAGGAAGAGAGGTCCCATATCCAGTTCTGCTGTCAACCCAGATTTCTCTCTACCATCCACTTATACCTAGAGTTTTCTTTTCAAGAAACAGCAGTTGTATCCCACAACGTTCCCTCAATGTTGCTAGACAAAAGGCAGATACACAGAAGTCAAATGGAGATAACTCATGTTATAGATTGAGAAAGAAAATATGTGTATAATTATTTGTATGGCATTTTCTCATCAAATGCAAATGCAAAAACTATTAGAAAAATACAGAAAGGCACTGGTGTAAAGTATTAATAGCAGTTGTCTTTAAATGAAAAAATGATGGGTTTTTTATTTCTTTTTCTTAGTTCTTTTTATTTTACATACTTATAGAATTCACATCTATTGTTTTTCAGTGTGGGCAAACAGAATAAACTAGGGATTAAAAGAAAAGAATCAATAACTCGTTCCAATAACTAATGACTAATGACTCTCACTGTCAGAGTCTTTAGATCTAAACTGCAGCACTATTTACAATAGCAAAGACATGGGACCAACCCAAATGCCCATCAATGGTATACTGGATAAAGAAAATGTGGTACATATACGCCAAGGAATACTATGCAGCCATAAAAGAAATGAGATCATGTCTTTTGCAGGGACATGGATGAAACTGGAAGCCATCATCTTCAGCAAACTAACACAGAAATAGAAAACCAAACACCACATGTTCTCACTCATGAGTGGGAGGTGAACAATGAGAACACATGGACACAGGGAGGGGAACAACACACAACAGGGCCTGTTGGATGATGGAAGGTGAGGGACAGGAAAATATCAGGACAAGTAGCTAATGCATGCAGGGCTTAAAATCTAGATGATGTGTTGATAGGTACAGCAAACCACCATGGCACACGTATATCTATATAACAAACCTGCACATTCTGCACATGTATCCTGAAACTTACAGTTAAAAAAAAAAATCTACTCCCAGTTGGATGATTTTGGGCCAGTCTCCTGATCTATCTGTCGCTGGTTTCCTCTTCCAGGATTATTCTTGTTCTTAGTTCAGCAAATAGTGTGCCTCCTTGGTTCAGCTTTCTCCATGTGGAGGTTAATCCCTGTGAATGAGCTGCTCCCAAAGCTGGGCTTGGAAATGGTCCCTGAAGCTCAGAGTAATTTATCCTTCCAGGTCCTGTTGACATTTCTTGTGATTGGGTGGCACTTCTTGGACCTAGAGTGAGCTGCCAACTGAGCTTCCTTCTAGAACCTAAGTTGTGTCCGATGTCATTGTTTTTGTGGTCTCATGCTCTGGTTTGAATATCTCGAACACCTATCAAATCTACTTATCAAGTCACCCTTGACCATGGCAGACTTCATGTTTCCCTCCACTCGACTAAACTTCACAGCGGCTCTTTCCTGACTCTAGGTTCCTGACTCCCCTTTTCTTACAGCATTTACTTTTAAAAACTTATACATTATTTCTACACCTCTTGAAAAATTAAAAAAAAATTTTAAAAGGCTCTTGCCAGTTTTTTTTTTTTTTTTTTTTTTTTTTGAGACGGAGTTTCGCTCTTGTTACCCAGGCTGGAGGGCAATGGCGCGATCTCGGCTCACCGCAACCTCCGCCTCCTGGGTTCAGGCAATTCTCCTGCCTCAGCCTCCTGAGTAGCTGGGATTACAGGCACGCACCACCATGCCCAGCTAATGTTTTGTATTTTTAGTAGAGACGGGGTTTCACTATGTTGACCAGGATGGTCTCGATCTCTCGACCTTGTGATCCACCCGCCTCGGCCTCCCAAAGTGCTGGGATTACAGGCTTGAGCCACCGCGCCCGGCCCTCTTGCCAGTTTTATGACCCAGGAATATCATTATCAAGGACCTGAGAACCATCTATTTGAAATGAAATAATCATCTAATTTTAATATTTCAATCATCAAAATTTATTCAAAATTTCATTTCAATCATTGAGGGTCAGGGCACACCTATCCTCCAGGCTCTGTGGGAGGGTCATGACCTAACTTTCATGGACAATTCTTTGTTCCACATTATGAAACTACCTCCTGTCACAAAGATGTGAGAGGTTTGTTTTTCCTTTTGGTAAAGCCACTTAGCAGAAACAGACAGCCTATGTTCTTTCTCTCACCCCAGCACTTAAATATCCTCCTGCCCTTAGTGTCAGCAGACAATTTTGTGCTGAGTTCTGGTATCTGCTCTGTATTGCAGCTGTCTATTGCAGAAAGTCTTCCCAGCCTGTTTAAATTTGTCCAGTACAATCCAGTAACGATTGCTGACCGCTGTCTCTCTCCAGGCTGCAGCTGTCTCTGGCCAGTTGGTCCATTTCCAGTCCTGCTAGGTATCCTTCATTTGTTAAATGGCTTGTGATATTGAGCATCCATCTTGCCCTGAATTTGGGTTTTTCAAGATTGTAATAGAGAAGTCCAATTAGGAAGGCATTTAGAAGAACCCCGGCCTCTACTCTGGAGAAGTACCCTTTACCGAGTACAACATTTTCCCAAGCCAAGGAATTTCTGCAAAGCCCACTTCATGTCCCTGTTCCTCAAGCAATAGACAAAAGGGTTCAGCATGGAGGTGACCATTGTGTATACCACAGATGCAGTCATTCCAGGATCTGCTGAGTAGAGGATGAGGACTGGAAATACACCAGAAAGACGGTTCCACAGAGAGTGACCACTGTCAGGTGAGAGCCACAGGTAGAGAAGACTTTGTGCTTCTCTCAGCAGAGGGGATCCTGAGGATGGTGTGCATGATGTGGGCACAAGAGACCAGGACACAGGTGAGAAGGATGACCCCCGAGAGAGTGGCTTCCATGAACATCATGATGTGAAAGACATTGGTGTCTGAACAGGCAAGCTTGAGGATTGGGAGAACATCACAGAAAAAGTGTGGGATACAATGAGAGGCACAGAAAGAAAGCTGAGCTCTGAGAAAAGTTAAGTGAGAAAGACAGGAGGTGGGAGCAGAGCCAGGATACAGCCACCAGCAGCAGGCAGCGCTGGGGACGCATGATCGTGGTATAGCGTAGAGGAAGGCTGATGGCCACGTAGCAATCATACGCCATCACGGCCAGCAGGAAGTCATTCAGCAGAGCCAATGCCATGAAGAAGTACATCTGCATGAGGCACCTGGTGTAGGAGATGGTGTGATGCTGTGTCTGGATGTTCACCAGCACCTTGGGGACTATGGTGCAGGTGAAACAGGTATCGATGAAGGACAGATTGGCCAGGAAGAAGTACATGGGGGTATGGAGATGAGGGTCAGAACCAGTGGCTAGGATGATGAGCCAAACAGGAGAGGCTAATGTTTCTGGGTGTTCAGAGAAGCCCAGGAGCAGGAAGTCAGAGATTCCGGTTTTGTTTCTAATTTCCTTCTAAGGCAGAAAAAGTAGCAGGTAATTCTGGTTAAATAAGTTGCTTTTAAAAAATTACAGAGTCCATGGACTTTGGTATGTTTTTCTTTGTTCTTTGGGGAGATCACTCTGATTCACTAGTGACTGTAACTGCATGTTTGCAAATATGTACAGATATGGAGACTGTGGACAATGATAATGAGGCATCAGGATGAAGGTGTACTTTGTTCCAGAATTCTCTAGTAGCTCAAGTTTTCCTCATAAATTGCCTGAATGAGACTGAACTGGAATTTGCTTTAAAGAGCTTCTTCAAGTTTTAATTCTTCCTTTAAAACAAACTCTTATAACAACAGTTTTAACCTCAGTGCCTTACTGTGGAGCTAATTTGGGAGTCTTGCACATGCTAGGATTTAGTGAGCAACACAAGATGCTCTGTGTGTATGTAGGTGCATGTGTGCTGAAGGAGATGGAAGACAGAACAATTTCTTTAGAGCGGAGCCAGAGGAGACTCAGGGGTCTCTGGTGTGCTGAGTGCTTCAGCCCCTTTGCCTTTGATGATCATTGTAATGAGTCAGTGTGACCATGAGTAGATTGCAAACTGAAAAACATATTAAGAGCACATCATTTTCATTTTCATTATGAACTTCACTATCAACATATTTTGTGTTAATATCTAGGCTGGCCATGTTGGCTCATGTCTGTAATCCCAGCACTTTGGGAGGCTGAGGCTGGTGGATCACCTGAGGTCAGGAGTTCAAGACCAGCCTGGCCAACCTGGTGAAACCCCGTTTCTACTAAAAACACAAAAATGAGCTGAGTGTGGTGGTGTGTGCCTGTGATCCTAGCTACTTGGGAGGCTGAGGCAGGAGAATTGCTTCAACCCTGGAGGCAGAGTTTGCAATGAGCTGAGATTGCACCACTGCACTCCAGTCTGGGCAGCAGAGTGAGATTCTGTATCAAAAAAACAAAATAAAACACATTTTGTGTTAAGATCTAGGCCTTGGGCTGGGCGCGGTGGCTCAAGCCTGTAATCCCAGCACTTTGGGAGGCCGAGGCGGATGGATCACGAGGTCAAGAGATCGAGACCATCCTGGTCAACATGGTGAAACTCTGTCTCTACTAAAAATACAAAAAAATTAGCTGAGCATGGTGGCGCGTGCCTGTAATCCCAGCTACTCAGGAGGCTGAGGCAGAGGCAGGAGAATTGCCTGAACCCAGGAGGTGGAGGTTGCGGTGAGCCAAGATTGTGCCATTGCACTCCAGCCTGGGTAATAAGAGTGAAACTCCATCTCAAAAAAAAAAAAAAAAAAAAAAAAAAGATCTAGGCCTTGGCCTCCTGGAGACTGGATAGTAATCCTTTCTCTGCTCCTTGTTCTCAGTTTGACCTTGGTCGATTGTTGAGCCTGTTTGAATCTCTGTTTCCTAGTTTGTACCATGTGTAACTTCACAGAGTCACTGAACTTATTATTGAGATAACATATATGGAGAGCAGGCTTTCGTTAAGGGTGGTGATTGTTATGTCATTAATAGTAGTAGAAATGTGACCTTGGGATAGAATGTAATGGGAAGCCTTGAATGATGTGCTTTCCAGTTCTGTTTCTCACGTTTTTTTTAAACTTTGGGAAATATTTACCTCCTCTGAGCCTTGCTGTTTTTCTTTTTCTTTTTTGATCCATAAGAGGTAGCAAATAACCCTACCTGATAGTTTTGTTGAGGGTACCAAATGCTGGAGTCAGGTGAAGTCTCTTCTTAAACTGTGATTGCATTCAACGTGAGAAGTTCCACTGTTCCTGTTTGATGGTTTTGAAAAACAAATACAACACTCAATGGTAGCATGTGCTGGTGTCATGTTTGTTTAGTGTAGTGATTAAACATACAATTCTCTTTGGAACCTGACAGAATTTCCCTACTCTTTACTCTCTGTGTGAATTTGAGAAAGTCATTTAACCTTTCTTGGCTTCATTTTCCACATCTGCTTAAATGAAATAGTTAATAAAGTTACCACGTTAGAGTAGTTATGAGATTACATTTGATTATCATTGTAAGATATTCAGATCAAGGCTGATACACTATATATAAGTGCTCAGAAAATATGATCTAACCTCCTTACTTCTGTTTTAAATAAAATGACAGTGCTTTGTCCTTCTTGTTGTATCCTGGTTAGTGCCTGCATGTTGGGCTTGTAAATTATGAGGTGTCCATATTGAGAGTTGTGGTTATCACTGTTCACTTTTGAATGGCTGTGATTCTACTCAGAACTCTTAATAGTGAAGCATCTGTTTTTCCGAAGCTAAGTATAAACTTGGTCAAATATCTTCATCATCAGAGCCCAAATATTATTAATTGTATAATGGATCCATCTTAGGCCAAATGCGTTGGCTCATGCCTGTAATCCCAGCACTCTGGGAGGCTGAGGGGGGTGAATTACTTGAGGTCAGGAGTTTGATAACAGCCTGGTTAACATGGTGACACCCCTTCACTACTAAAAACACAAAAATTAGTCAGTCATGGTGGCTTGTGCCTGTAGTCCAAGCTACTTGGGAGGCTGAGGCATAGGAAATCATTTGAACCTGGGAGGCAGAGAGCTGAGATTGCATCACTGCACTCCAGCCTGGGCAACACAGTGAGACTCTGTCTCATAAAATAAAAACAAAAACAAAATCTTAAATAATCATTCACCAGTTTAATTTTAAGGAAAAGAAAGGATAGGAGTAAGATTGATAAACTATAAATGGACATAGGAGAGTAAATTATTGGTATTGTCCTGGTGTAATGATTGAGGGTGATTCTGGGAACCTTGCCTGTCCCAGCTGGCTAAGAATGAGTTATGCTTTGTTATTGCTCAGATGCTATATACTGGTCACCAATGAAGCTTAGAGAAGGATAGTCTGAGACTCTACAATGACCTTAGGCTGGACCATCACGGACCTGATGAATACCAGAGTTAACCAGAAAGTGACTGGCAGAAAGAAAGAGTGGAAAGGAAGGGGAGAAAGGAAAAAGGGAGAAGCTGTGTGGGCTGGGAGTGTGTGTTTGTACATGCACATGCTCTAGATTCTGCTCTCTCTTCCCATTCCTATGGCTCAATTCTTATCTGGCAATGCTGGCCAGTCTCAGTCTCTGCCACTACTACCAAGGAGATTGAGTTCACTGCACTGCTGTCTCCCCAAGAAAACATGACTGGAGTGACAGATTCTTTCCCTGTCTCTAGGAACAACATAGACTAAAGTCAGGTCTTCAGTGACACCTGAGGCACAGGAGCCAGGAGGTGCTGCTGACTTCATATGCAGTGTCTCCTGGGACCCAATCCCAGGCCTCCTAGTTAGAGACAAGATAGTGTGAGTGTCCAATCTCCCAGCTGTCTCCTCTGGACTATGGATCCCTGAGTCTCAGCAGTGTCATTGATGCCCCTCATCAGAGGACCAGGGTTGGGATCCGGGAGGATAACTGCTCCTGGATTTTCCCTTGGATGAGCTGCAGTTTGGGTTGGTCATCCTCAGTCATCTTTACTATGCCTTTGTCATGGAGTCCACACCTTTAGTTAGAGCCCAATGTTTATGGATAAAATACAGTATGTGCCAAAAAATAAGAAAAAAGTATAGAATAGAACAGATCAAAGGTCACACTTTTTACCATCAAATGTCATAAACATTCTTATTCTCTATGATCCCAGAGAGAAGAGATAAGGCTAATGTGTAGACTCTGTATCAGGTGCAGGTGCTATCTCTGGATTTATTTGGTTTGCTTATGTTGTAAATATACATACGAAAGAATGTATACAGCACATATGTGCTGTTTCAATAATGATAATCAAATTAATGCCCATTCTCCCACTACTCGGTGTAAAGAGTATATGGCTCAATCCTTTTGAGTTCCTGTGTGTGCTTCTTTTCAATTATATCCCTTTCTTCCCTCTTTAGAAGAACCCCTATCATGAATATGGTGTAACATTGCCTTACTTTTATTTGTAGTTTTGCCACATATGCATATATGTCTAAACTATATACAGTATGCTCTGAATTTGCCCATTTTTGTACTTTTTGTAAAGGGTATTATACTTTTTTGCATTCTTCTGTTGCTTGTTTTGCTCAACATTATTATCTTAGGGTCATTCATGTGAATGCATGTAGCTGATGGACATTAATATCCATTGCTATTTAATAATCTCTCATTATAAACTTTTTACCTGCTGAATTTTAGAATTCAAAACTCTTGGATTTGAAATCATTTGTGTATCATCTAAGGCGACACTCCATAATCAACCACATAGTATTTCCACAGCAAATAAATGAATATTCACACTAAGCACAACTAATAAAGAGTACAAATAGTCTTGTGCAGGTTTAAATCATGATTTGTGACTAAATGAGTTCACCACAGGCATTCATAAAATTTTTTTATTGTCAGAGGTTTTCAGATGATAGAAAGGTAGACAGACATTCTGGTGAGTGTGTACTCATTATCTCATGTGCATCTAAAAATTAAATAGTGAGTGTTATACATGCAGAAAACTACACAAAACACAAATATGCCACCTGAGAAATTATTAGAAACTGATAACCGAAAAACAATATTCTACTTCTTGATCTCTATATTAATCCATTCTCACACTGCTATAAAGAAATACTATTCAAGACTGGGTAATTTATTAATATAAACAAAGGAGGTTTAATTGGCTTACAGTTCTACATGGCTGGGGAAGCCTCAGAAAACTTACAATCATGGCGGAAGGGGAAGCAGGCACGTCTTACATGGCAGCAGGTGAGAGAGTGTGTGAGAGTGCAGGGAACCATTTATGAAACCATCAGATCTTGTGAGAATTCACTCACTATCATGAGAAAAGCATGGGGGAAATCACACCCATAATCCAATCGCTTTCTTTCCTTGACATGTGGGGATTACAGGTCATCTCTGACTGGTGATGATTACAATTGGAGATGAGATTTGGGTGGAGACAAAGAGCCAAACCATATCAATCTGTATCTACTTTGGGATACAGATACAGATACAGATACAGATACAGATACAGATACAGATACAGATACAGATACAGATACAGATACAGATACAGATGAAGAAGTAGAACATTGTCAGTATGCGGAAGCTCCTTCTGTGTACTCTACTAATCATTACTTTTCTTTCCTGGAAGTTAAATAATTGCTGCACTTTTCCTAGCATTTTATATTAGTCCTGTCTCTTTTTGAACTTTGTGTATAAACAGTCATATCTGATCTATTCTTTTTTCTTTTGTTCAGTATTCCACACTGATGAGATTATCTAGATTACTGTATGTAGTAGTAGGAGTTTGTTCATGTTCATTGCTGTGAGCTGCTCTACTTTATGATAATACCACATATTATTAATGTAATCTATTATTGAAGAAACTGTTGGCTTTTAGCTATTAGGAATAATGCTGTAGGGATCATTCTTGTATGTGTTTCTTGGTATACACATGTATTCCTTTCTATTGCATACATATCTAGGAGTGCAATAATATCTGGATTCTAGAATTTCTATATCTTCAATTTTGACATATAATGTTGGACTGATTTCCAAAGATATTGTAGCAAATCCCATTTCTACCAGCAGCATATAAGGACTCTGGTTGCTCCATTTATTTGATAACACTTGGTGTCCATTTAAAAAAAATTGTAGTCATTCTGGTGTGTGTGTGTGTGTGTGTTTGTTTTGGGCATCTCCTGCTGGATTGGTTTTATATTTAAGTTACTAATAATGAGATCAAGTAACTTTTAAGTACTGACTAGCGTTTTTATTTCTGAATTTTGAAACTGCTCGTTTAAATTTTTGTTCATTTTAATTTAATTATCTATTTTATCCTTGTTTATTTGTAGAATTATTTAAATAGTCTAGATACTAGGCCTTTGTTGATTATATGTACTATAAATATTCTCTATCTTTATGGCTTGTCTTTTCATTCTTTGTATAATGTTTGCTAAATAAGTGTTTCTAATTTTAATTTATTGGATTCATCAAAATTTTTCTTTTTGTGTGCTTTATATGTGTCTGGTTCAAGAAGCCCTTTCTATTTTCTGAGTTCAGAAAGATATTTTCCAGTAATTTCTTGTAAAAGGCTTCTAATTTTGCCTTTAACAGTTCTTTAGCTGGAGTTGATTTTGTATATGCTACAAAGTAGGAAAGGTGTATTTTTTAATTTTTATTTTTTCACATCAAGACACCCAATTGTAAATTCCTTTTTTAGAAAATATTTTGAATTTTAATTTTTAATTAATAATTGAGAGATAATTACATATGTTTATGGGGTACAGTGTGATGTTTTAATGGATGTATACATAGTATAATGATCAAATCAGGGTAATTACCATATCCATCACTTTAAACGTTTATCATTTATTTGCGCTAACAATATTTAACATTCTTCTCTTCTAGCTATCTTAAAATGTACAATACTGGGCCAGGCGCAGTGGCTCAGGCCTGTAATTCCAGCAATCTGGGAGGCTGAGGTGGGTGGATCACGAGGTCAAGAGATCGAGACCATCCTGGTCAACATGGTGAAACCCTGTCTTTACTAAAAATACAAAAAATTAGCTGGGCATGGTGGCGCATGCCTGTAATCCCAGCTACTCAGGAGGCTGAGGCAGGAGAATTGCCTGAACCCAGGAGGCAGAGGTTGTGGTGAGCCGAGATCGTGCCATTGCACTCCAGCCTGGGTGACAAGAGCGAAACTCTGTCTCAAAAAAAAGAAAAAAATGTACAATACTTTGTTATTTGCTATAGTCACCTTACGACAGGGGTCCCCAAACTTTTTACACAGGGGGCAAGTTCACTGTCCCTCAGTCTGTTGGAGGGCTGGACTATGCAAGGTGTGACACCCTTCACAGCCAGTGCTGCTGCCTCCACTATCCCAGACAGCGGTATACAGTGTCACAGGCCCCAGCACCACCTCCAGTGCTGTATACAGGGGTGGCGGTGATCAGCCTGTGACACTGTGTATACAGCATCCTGGACATCACAGCAGCGGTGGGCCTCTTCTGTGGGAAGCCCACTGCTGCATGTTTCCCCTATTATAAGACACCTCCTAAAAATAAGATAGACCCTGTCTTTTGGGGGTAAAATTAATACAAGACAGGGTCTTATAATAGGGGAAACACGGTGTGTAGTAATGTGGGGAGAGACTTTTGGGCAAAGGGAGGTTATAGTGGCCATTATATTGTTGTACATTTGGGGGAGTATGGGGACCATTGTACTGTGTCGTAATGGTTATAGTGCTTTGCCTTTCTTCCTATTTCTGCTGCTATTTCACACTGCTTCTGGTGATGTGGAGCTCCGCAGCTGCAGACCGGATGTGCGTCATATGACATGCTTCTGTAGCCCTGACGCGTGCGTCCCACGTCACCGGAAGTAGTAATGTATGTGAGCAATGCCGCGCTTTGTGGCGCCGCCACATACAGTACTCCAGGAGCACAGGATGCGAATGCATCCTGTGCTCCTCTCACTGGCCACCAATGAAAGAGTTGCCCCTTCCTGAAGTGCGGCGGGGGCCGGATAAATGGCCTCAGGGGACCGCATGCGGCCCGCGGGCCATAGTTTGGGGACCCCTGCCCTGTGACATAATCGAACACCAAAGTTATTCTTCCTCTCTAATAGCAACTTTGTATGCATTGATCAACTTTGTATGCATTGTTGACCGCTTTTCCCTTCCCCTCCCTAGTCTTTGGTAACTACTATGCTACTCTACTTCTATGAAATCAATGTTTTTAGATTCCATGTATAAATGAGATCATGCAGTGTTTGTTTTCCTGCACCTGGCTTATTTTACATAACATAATATACTCCATGTTCATCCATGTTGCCACAAATGACAGAATTTCATTCCATTTTATGGTTGAATAGTATAGTATTCCATTGAGCGTGTATACCACATTTTCTTTCTTCGTTCATCATTAGATGGGCACTTTGATTCTATATCTTGATTATTGTGAATAATACTACAATAAACATGGGTTTGCAGATGTCTCTAAGACATATTGATTTAATTTTCTTTGGCTATATACTTAGTAATGAAATTGCTGGATCATATGGTAGTCCTATATTTAATTTTTTGAGAGACTTTCGTACTATTTTCCGTAATGGCTGTACTAATTTACATTCTCATCAATAGAGTATAACAATTTTCTTTCTCTGTATCTTCTCCAGAATTTGTTTTTTGTCTTCTTGGCAACAGCTATTCTAACAGGTAAGATAATATCTCATTGTGGTTTTGATTTGCATTTCCCTGATGATTAGTGATATCAATCAGTTTTTCATTTATCTGTTGACCATTTATAAGTGTTCTTTTGAGAAATGTCTTTTCAGGTCTTTTACCCAAAGTCTTATTATTATTATTGTTATTTTTTCACTGTTGAGTTGTTGGAGTTTGTTATATAGTCTGGATATTAACCCTTGTCAGATGCATAGTTTGTAAATACTTTTGCCCGTTGTCTCTACACTTTATTAATTTTTTCCTTTTCTGCACAGAAGCTTTTTAATTTAATGTAATCCCATTTGTCTATTTTTGCTTTTATTGTCTGTGCTTTTGAGGTCTTACTTAAAAAAAAATCCCTGCCCAGTAAATTTCTTGACATATTTCCTCTAAGTTTTCTTCTAGTAGGTTCATAGTTTTGGGTCTTATATTTAAATCTTTAATCCATTTAGAGTTGATTTCTGTATGTAGTGAGAGATAGAGGTCTACTTTCATTCTTCTGCATGTGAGTATCCTGTTTTCCCACTACCATTTACTGAAGAGACTGTCCCTTCTCCAATGCGTATTCTTGGCACATTTGTCAAAAATCAGTTGGCTGTTAGGAGGCTGGATTTATTTCTGGGCTCTCTATTTAGTTCCATTGGCTTATGTGTCTGTTTTTATGCTATTTGCCATGCTGATTTCATTACTATAACTTTTGAATTCAGGTAGCATGATGCCTCCAGCTTCATTCTTTCCACTCAGCATTGCTTTGGTGATCCAGGGTCTTTTTCCTATTCACATGAATTTTAAGATTGCTTTTTCTATTTCTGTGAAGAATATGATTGATACTTTGATAGAGATTGCATCGAATCTGTAGATCATTTTGGATAGTATAGTCATTTTAACTACATTAATTTTTCCAATCCATGAACACAGGATATCTTTCCTTTTATTTGCATCCTCTTCAATTTTTTTAATCAATGTTTTATAGTTTTCATTGTAGAGATCTTTCACCTTCTCAGTGTGGGACTTCACAACAATGAACAGATCATTCAGACATAAAATCAAGAAAGAAACATTGGAGTTAAACTACTCTAGACCCAATGGACCTAACAGACATTTAAAGAACATTCCACACAACTGCTGCAGAATACATATTCTTTTCAGCAGCACACAGAACATTCTCCAGGGTAGACTATATGTTATATCACAAAATTAGTCTTAACAAGGTCAAAAAAATTAAAATCAGATCTAGTGTCTTTCTGACCACAATTCAATAAAACTAGGAATCAATAACAGAAGGAACTTTGGAAACTCTTCAAATATATGGCAGTTAGATGACATGTTCATGAGCAACCAATGAGTCAATGAAAAAATTTAAAGAACAATTAAAAAATTCCTAGAGACAAATAAAAATGAAAACATATAAAATCCTACGGGATACAGCAAATGAAGCATTAAGAAGGAAGTTTATAGCAATAAAAGCTTACCTCAAAAAGTAGAAAGATTTCAACAACTTAATATTACACCTCAAAGAACTAGAAAAAGAAGATAAATCTAAACCTAAAATAAGTAAAAGGAAAGAAATAGTAAGGATTGAGCAGACATAAATGAAGTAGGGCCTGAAAAACAATGAAAAGATAAATAAAACAAAGAACTAGTGTTTTTGAAAGTATAAAGAAAATAATCAACCCTTTAGCTAGAATAAGAAAAAAAGGGAGAATACTCAAATAAATAAAATCAGAGATAAAAAAGGAGACATTAAAACTGATACCATAGAAATACTAAGGATCCTAAGAGACTACAGTGCACAACTATGCACTAACAAATTGGAAAATCTCAAATAAATGGATAAATTTCTGGACACTTACAGCTTACCAAGACTGAGTCATGAAGAAATAGAAAACCTGGACAGATGTATAATGAGTAATGAGATCAAAGCCGTAATAATAATTCTGCCATGAAGGAAAAGTCCAGGACCTGACTGTGTCATTGCTAAATGCTACCAAACATTTAAAGAACAGACAGCACAGATTCAGTTCTCCACACATATATGGTGAATAGTTCTTCCATGGTTTCCATGGGCCTCTCCTCCATAGAGGAAACATAGAAGAGGGAGGTTAGTGGGATGAACTATAGCCCACTTTGCACAGTTGGTCTTGAGGGGTGAACTTTTACTTATCCTCACTCTCCTACTCACTGGGCAGTCTAAACTTCTCATCCTCAACTCTCATCTTGGTAGGTCTGGGGGGCTTATGTACTAATACGATTCAAACCTTTACTCCCAAGGAGTCTGGGACCTTGATAAACATACCCTTCTCAGGCTAGGGTTGCTGTAGGTGTCCATTTACGGTTACAATTGTGAAGGGAGTATCAGCAAATGCTCAAGTGGATCAACTGGGTTCTATATGTATTCCTTCCTGTCCTCATTGTAGAAAGCAATCTTACTCTGAGAATTGGCTTTGGTACTGGAAAATGGTTTCCTGGAATTGATGTCTGCCTATCTCCACTGACTGGTTTCCATCTTCTCTAAAAAACTTGTTTATTATAAAACCCAATTTATTTGTCTCGAGTTGTAATGTTCCAAACACTATCATAATCATAATAAACAACTTTTATTGAGCATTTACAATAGGCCATGTAGTGTGCTAATTGCTTTACACAGATGTCATCTCACTTAATCTTCATGAAACTAGCTATCTTGTCTGATTTTATAGATGAGACAAGTTAGGCTTAGCAGGGTTGCTAATTTGTTGAAAATTACAAAAATAGTAGCAGAGTCAGGATTTGAATCCAAAGCCATTATGCTCTTAGTAGCTACTCCTCTACACCATGCCATAGCTGTCCCTTGGTGTGTATCTCCCAAAACAAGTCGCATGCTCGCTGGATGATGTTATTCAATTGGTGTGGCTGTCCCATCCTTTTGTACCTTGCTTCAAGCCTGACCCTTGGAAAAAGTTTTCATCAGTTAAACTCAATTTCATCTTCTGCCACATCTTTTTTTTTCCCATTGAGGTAGATTTCTTTATTCCTCCACCTTTTTTGGTATCACATCCCCTTAGTTTCTCCTTTGTAAAGCTATAGTTTCCCCTCAACTTTTCTCCATTTGTCTGCTTCATATCCTTTAGCCGTGGTTTGTATTTCAGATGTTTGAAGTGCCGGACGGTGTGCCCCATTTGATAGTGAAATTATTTGAAAGACAGTGAAGATGAGGTGGAGGGACAGGGATGGAGAAAGGAAGGTCAGTGAGAATCATGTTGTCATAATTGAGGGAGACCTTCTTCATACCCACTGGAATCCCCCCAAAATGAACAAAACAGTGATAACACCCTAAAGAGAATAATTATACTTAATTTCCAGAAATGCTTAGACTGAGCTGAGTGGGAGGATGTATGACAGTGTAACTATTTGTCACCCCATTAGAAAACATGGAATGTTAGCTGGAAAGGGATCATAGAAACATTTCTATATAATGTTATCCTAGTGGTTGACATTAGTATGATCTTGCTACATGCAAGACACTGTTCTAAGTATTAGGTTGGTGCAAAAGTAATTGTGGAAACAGCAATTTTGCACCAACCTAATTCTTAATACATAATTCCTATATGTCTTAGAACATTCATTAGATCATTAAACTCTAACAATTGACTTTGCATATAAAAAAATCAAGACATGAAAGATTAATCAACTTTCTCAAGAACACAGAGCTGAAAATTAGTGGATTTGGGCTTGTAGCCCAAGCAGTATACTAGAGGACTAGAGAATTAAAACTAAAAAACGTTAAGTAAATTAGCTAAAGTCACTAAATGGCAGGTGTGGAAGCTTTAAAAGTTTTTTTTTTTTATGGTGAAATACTGGTCTACACTGGTAACGTACACGAGATACATGAACTAGGTATTTCAAAGGAAAAGGGATAAAGATGCCGAGGAAGAGGGGAGAAGTTGGGGAATTATTTTATAGCTTATTTATAAGCTTAAATTATTTTGCAATTTAAGAAACTTATAATGACTCTTTTTATGAAGAAGTAAGACAAATTTATTAAAACAAGCTGTTTACAATCTCTTGTCTGCTATTTGGAATATAAATACTTTTGGACATAGAAGCTATAATTTATTTTGTTTCCCTACAGATTAGGTACCTGCAGATAGTAGATGCTTAACATATAATTGCTGAGATAATTCCTAAACTCCTAGAGGTAGTAAAATATACATATTCTATTCTGTCCTTTTTGCTAGCTTTCTCAAGGCTTGTTTCATGTCCTTGTTCCTAAGGCTATAAATAAAAGGGTTCAGTGTGGGAGTAACTACTGTATAGATGACAGTGACCACACGATCCTTTGTCACTGAGTAGGTTGATGAGGGGCGAATGTATATGGATACTATGGTTCCATAGAATAGTGCCACAACCGTGAGGTGGGATCCACAGGTGGAGAAGGCCTTGAACCTAGCTCCTGCTGAGGGGACCCTCAGAACAGCTCGGGTGATGTAGACATAAGAGACAATAATGAAAATAAAAGGACTCATGATCACAAAGGAGCCCTCTGTGAAGGCCATGAGCTCATTGACAGAGGTGTCAGAGCAAGAGAGTGTCAGCAGTGGCTGGACATCGCAGAAGAAGTGGTGGATGATGTTGGGCCCACAGAAGGATAGGCGAGCCATGAGAACAGTGTGGGTGAGCGAGTGGAGGTGGGACACCACCCAGGATGCCGTGACCAGCAGGAGACAGCGCCTGGGGCTCATGGCTGTGGTGTAATACAGTGGGTTGCAGATGGCCATGTAGCGGTCAATGGCCATGACAGCCAGGAAGAAGCTGTCTGTGATCCCAAAGGCCACAAAGAAATACATCTGGGTGAGGCATTGGGCAAAGAGGATGGTCTTTGTCTGAGTCAGCATGTTCACTAACATTTGTGGCATGATGACAGTGGTAAAGCAGATGTCCACCAGGGACAGGTTAGAGAGGAAGAAATACATGGGAGTGTGGAGGCGGGCATCCCCCCAGATGGCTGCCATGATGACTGAGTTGCCAACCACATTGACCAGGTACATGGCCAGGAAGCAGGCAAAAAGCCACACCTGTTGTTTTGAGTCTGTGGTCAGTCCCAGAAGGAGGAATTCAGTCACGTGAGTTTGGTTTCTCCTTGATGTTGCTGCCCTGTAAGTAAAAAATATGATGGAATATTAGGTGTGTGTCTTGGCTTGGAGTCTTCCATTGGTATAGGATAGTTCAGCTTGCACCCTGCATAAGGGGAACTTATACATAGTCTATAATATAACATCATAATTTAATATTGACACATCTTGATTTCAACTCCAACTTTTAACTGACAAATTTTGTGAACTTGAAAAAGGTACTTCATCTCTTTTTTTTCGTCCAAAAGACAAAAATTATGACATATATATTCTTAGATTATTCTGAATATAAGTGGTAAAGATTGTAGCAGAGATACTCAGAAAATCACTATTTTACTCTATTTTCAAAGGTATGGTAACTATGACACACGTTTTTTCTTTTTTGAGACAGAGTCTTGCTCTGTTTCTCAGGCTAGAGTGCAGTGGCATGATTGTAGTTCACTGCAGCCTCCACCTCCTGGGTTCAAGCAATTCTCCCAACTCAGCATCCTGAGTAGCTGGGAATACAGACATGCACCACCATGCCTGGCTAAGTTTTATATTTTTACTGGGACTGGGTTTTGCCATGTTGGCCAGGCTGGTGTTGAACTTCTGGCCTCAAGTAATCTGCCCACTGTAGCCTCCCAGAGTGCTGGGACTGCAGATGTGAGCCACCATGCCTGGCCTCTATGACACATCTTTTTGCTCTGTCTGGCCTCAGTTACTCTTCTTCTGTGGAGTATCAACCTCCACCTGATGCTTCTGGCTACATTTTCTCTCTTTTTTTTTTCTCCTCTGTGTAACATGAAGTGGGCTATCCTATGTCTTGCCTATAAATCAAAAATCACACAGACATTGTAGAGATCATGTTATTGGATTGAATCCATCTTGGAAGAAACATACTTTTAGAATACATTTGCGAGTTTAATCATGGGAAGAAATGTCTAGGAGTGGCTGGCACCTGAAAAATTGACACGTCCGTTAGAATGTAGAACTGGCATCTGGCAGAGGGAGCCTATTTACCCAACATTGATTTTGATGTTTCAGACAGGTAAGTGGAATCAATGAAGATAGAGGAACTAAGAGGTGGGCGACCTTATAGGCAAGAAGTGTCCAAAGAGTATAATGTGGAAAATGGAAATGTGAGAATATATAGCATTATGGCAAAAAAAACCCTTGCAATGTATGAATAGGATAGTGCTGTGGTTCAGGAGCTGGTCCCTATTTCCCACAAAAGGCTAAAGCTGGGAAGGATAAGCCAAGTTTCCAGTCTGGCAGGATTTCAGCCCCTAGTCATTTATTTACTAGGGTAGGGACTCAGTTGAAATGAAATGAGATCAGAAAATCACCATGATATTGATTTTGTATCCTGAAACTTTATTAAGGTGGTTTATTAGGTCTAAAAATCTTGTGGAGGAATCTTTAGGGTTTTCTAGGCATAAGATTATGTCATTAGCAAACAGAGATAATTTGACTTCCTCTTTTTATATCTGGATGCCTTTTATTTCTTTATCTTGCCCGATTGCTCTGGCTAGGACTTCCAATACTATGTCGAATTGAAGTGGCAAGAGTTAACGCTATTCATATCAAATTACCAACATCATTTTTAAAACAGAGTTAGAAAAAACTATTCTGAAGTTTACATGACATCAAAAAGAGCCTAAGTAGCCAATGCAGTCCTAAGGTAAAAGAATGAAGCCAGAGGCATCACACTACCAGACTTCAAACTATACTGCAATGCGTCAGTAGGCAAAATAGCATGATGCTAGTACAAAAATAGACAGATCAATGGAACAGAATGGAGAACACAAAAATGAAGCTGCACACCTGCCACCTTAGAAAACTTACAAAGCAATGGGGAAAAGACACTCTGTTCAATAAATGGTGCTGGGAGAATTGGCTAGCCATATGCAGAAGAATGAAATTTGATTCCTACATTTCACCATATACAAAAATTGGCTCAGGATGGATTAAAGATTTAAATGTAAGCCCTCAGACTGTAAGAATCCTATAAGAAAACCTAGGAAATACCCTTCATGACATTAGCTTTGGCAAAGAATTTTTGGCTAAGTCCCCAAAAGCAATTACAACAAAAACAAAAGTTGACAAATGGGACATAATTAAGGCGCTTCTGCAAAGCAAAAGAAACTGGCAACAGAGTAAACAGACAACCCACAGAATGGGAGAAAATATTTGTAAACTATGGATTGAATAAAAGTCTAGTATCTAGAATGTATAAGGAACTTAAACAAATTAAGAAGCAAAAAGCAAATAATCCTATTAGAAAATAGCTGAAAGAGATGAACAGACAATTCTCAAAGAAAGTCATACAAGTGGCCAACAAATGTCAAAAAATGTTCATTGTCACTAGTCATCAGAGCAATGCAAATCACAACCACAATGAGATACCATCTCACACCAGTCAGAATGGCTATTACTAAAAAGTCAAATTATAACAGATGATGATAAGACTGTGGAGAAAAGGGACTACTTATACACTGTTAGTAGGAATGTAAATTAGTTTAGCCGCTGTGGAAACTTTAAGTTTCTCAGAGTGTTTAAAATGGAGCTACCATTTGATCCAGAAATGTCATTATTGGGAATATACCCAGAAGAAAATAAATCATTCTACCAAAAAGACACATGTACATATATGTTCATTGCAATGCTATTCACAATAGCAAAGACATGGAGCCAACCTAGGTGCCCATTAGTGGTGAACTGGATAAAGAAAATGTGGTACACATACACAATGGAATACTATGCAACCATAAAAAAGAGTGAAATCATGTCCTTTGTAGCAATATGAATGCAGCTAAAGGCCATAATCCTAAAGGAATTAATGTGGGAACAGAAAACCAAGTGCTGCATGTTTTCCCTTATGGTGGGAGCTAAACATTGGGTAGTCATGAACATAAAGAGAGGAACAATTTTGATACTCTGGACTCCTGGGGGTTGGGGGAGGCATTGGTTGAAAAATTACTTACTGAATACTATGCTCACTACCTGGTTGATGAGATCCATACCCCAAATCTCAGTATCACACAATATGCCCATGTAACAAACCTGCACTTGGACTCCCTGTGTCTCAAAGCTGAAATTATATTAAAAATATCAGTATACAAAATAAAATTGATGACATCATAATTATGCATAAAACAGACAAAAGATGTGGAGGTGATATTTTCAATGTTTAACATATGAGTTCCTAATATCCATTTTCTGCAGTGATCATTTTCACATCAGCAAGAAAAATGTAAGAACCCCAATAAAAAATGTGCAAGAAAGCCAAAAGGCTAACAAACGTACGAAGACATGAAGACATACTGAAATTCATTGGTGTTCAGATAACTGAAAAAAACCCCACAATATTTCACTTTACATTTGTTAGCTTGGTAAATATGAGAAAGAAGAATGAGGACAAATGTTGACAAGGATGTGGGGACACAGGGACCCTGGGGCACTGCCAGTGGGAATGGAGACTGGTGCAATACTCTAAAAAGAAAACTGGCATGATTTAGTGAGTTAATGTATATTCTGTGACTGAATCACCCTGCTCCTAGATGTGTGTCACAGAGAGAGTCTCAGACAGGCATATAAAAGCTCATGGATGAGGATGCTTTTGTACTGTCATCTGCAGTGGTGGGGAGTTTCAGGCAATCTGGAAGTTCATGACTAAGCTGGTAAATGTGATAGAGGCACCCTATGGAGCTGCCTAGAAACAATTAACTAGAATTACCCCTAGCAACACTGATAGATTTAAAAAGCATAATCTGAGTAAATAGGGTAAGAAAATAAGTGAGCTCTATAATACAAGATGATTTACGTAAATTAAAAATGCAGCAAAACAACAAATATATTTATATACAGAATCAAACATTAAACATGTTAGAATGGGGAAGAGTAATAGAGGCAGAGAGTGAGTACACAGGCTCATGAATGAGGAAGCAAACAAAAGTGTTGGCAATATGCCATCGGTCAGGGCATGTGGTTACTTCAACCCTCTGCGTGTGAAGTCTATGAATAAGAAAAATTTCAAGTTTTTTTTTTTGAGCTGGAGTCTCGTTCTGTCACCCAGGCTGGAGTGCAGTGGCACAGTCTTGGCTTACTGCAGCCTCCACATCCTGGGTTCAAGTGATTCTCCTGCCTCAGCCTCCCTAGTAGCTGAAATCACAGGCATGCACCACCATGCCTGGCTAATTTTTTGTATTTTTAGTAGAGACAGGGTTTCACCATGTTGGCCAGGCTAGTCTCGAACTCCTGACCTCAAGTGATCCACCTGCCTTGGCCTCCCAAAGTGCTGGGATTACAAGTATGAGCCACCGTGCCCGGCCTTATGTATGTGTTTTTAATATTCAATAACAGTATACGATGTTGTATGAAGGTATAGTTGAAAATAACATATTCACTTTATGTTGGGAAACACTGAGGCTCAGGAAGGGTGTAATTTACCCAATACCACAGACTGAGTTATCAGTGGAAGTAGAACTGCATTCCAGCCTTACCAGGAGTTTTCTCTCCTTACCACGCTCATGTGTTGCTCACGGTCCATGCTGCTCTGAAGATTTTCAGAGGTTAGGGTGAGGCTATAAAATCTGGAGCTTTCCTCAGCAGGTGTGGCTTTGGGGACAACCAGGAGCCAGGCTGGGCCAACAGAAGCTGGGTTCTGCTTTTCAGCATCAGGGACAAAATGCTGAACCCCTCCCAAAGTGCTGTCCCTCCCAGTGCTGAATCCCGCTCCTTGGAGTCTTTCCCAGGTTATGTAAATAAAGAGCTTTGGGAATGCGGAGACTGTGGCACTGGAAGTTTAGGCAGCGTTCCTAACATTTAGTAAGTATGACCTGGTTTGTTGTCTTAGCTATGCTGAGGCTCAGAAGAGGATGGCAAGCAAAATGCTTTCTCACTTCTAACACTCCAGAGTTGTACGACTTGGTACAGTGATGAGACTGAAGATAGTAGCTACTTACTCAGAAAAGGGATGGTGACCTCCAGGGTGGTCATTTAAGAGTCTAGGCATCTCCTCCTCTGCTTTACTGGCCTTGG